TGTTTTGTTCAATTCCAAAATCGCGGATCATTGCTGGTAGGTACGGGAAGACCGATGTGTAGGCAATCGGTTCGGCAAAGCGTGCCACAGCTGCGTAGAAGTGTCAGTCATCATCTGGTTGAAGTTGCCGTGTGAAAGGGGTCCGTTTGGTGAGGAAGTCTAAGAGGTGGGCCGTGTGTTGATCACTCGGTATGCGACGCTTTTGTATTGATGAATGTTCTGCTATGAATGAAATACAGGCTTCATTCGATCTAAAACACAAAGGCAAGATTGTAATCATACATCTTCTTCATCGCAGCTGTGATTCATAGCCAAACCGTGTCGCCTCCGCCACGGTGACTGGGATGAAAACTTTTCTTTTGCTCTGGTAGATGGGTGTGGCAAGGTAGGTAGAATAGGACGAGAAAGATTGAAGCTCACCTAAAATCGAGAGCTGCTCCATAGGCAGCCTCGGCTTAGTACGTGAACCCGTCATGACGGCGGCTATGGAGAGATACGAGTGGAAGAACAAAAGGAGGCTGTTGAGCCAACTTGGATCATCAATGGGAGAACGAAAATTATTCACTTGGCGCAAGACGGAGGCAGTGGGGCCGGTTTATATGCTCCGGCTGCTACCCCGCGGTCAGGTCAAGAGGCAATGGAAGCGTATGAAGGATCTAATCTCTCCTCGAGGTGGACACAAAGCAAGGGGACACAAACACGAGGCTGGGCGGTAGGGGAGAGGAAGAGGAAGGAAACAAACATGCAGCTATTCGAGGACGTCACGGGCAGAGAAAAGAGGGTGCATTCCGGTGACTGGTCGCCTGCTTCCGCGGCCGAGTAATCAAGTCTAGTCGAAATTTTGCTTGCAAGATGAACCGCTAGGATGTACTCCGCATGTATCAACTGCGTCCACCACCCATGCAGATGCATGTAGACGGGGCTTTGAGGTTCTCACGGCCCACTTATACACCCTCACGTGCAGGCAATCCTGGGCCTGGGTGTGAACCGGTATCTCTCAATTCTGCCTTCCTTCAAGCGGGGAGAGGGACGTTTGTGCAACCAGTGTAAGACCTGGAGGGCGGCAGCCTATTGGGGACCTGGCTCGGCTCGCCTGTCCTGGCTATGGAGGGCACCCATGATGATGGCTCCCTGTGAGAGTCTGCTGCAACAGGTGGGAGTCATTGCAGACGCCTGGGGGCAAGGAGGCAATGAAATGCCTGCCTGTACCTTGCTAGTACTGCTAGACTCCGTCTTGCCCCCTTGCCGTGTGCCGGTTGATCGCCAGCTCGCGGGACAGAACTGGCTGCTGGAGGCTGGCTGAAGCGAAGGCTGGGGAGCCCGAAAAGAACTTTGCGAGCGCCATATTGGTCAGCATTTAGATTTCTCGATCAAATGACGCGATCAACCCTTGCCTCCGACAGCGGAGATGGCCTACGGGCCGGGTTTTGAGACACAGGTCCATGCAACGCAACGACGGCAAACGTGACCACTGCCCACCGCCTTCTCGGTGTGTAAGACCAATGGCTAGCATATGTACGTAGCTGCTTGGGAGCGCTTGGCCCGAGCGCCGACTCTCCCAGCATCGTCACCTGCATTCTAGCTTGAGATGACATAACTGGCTGGAGGAAATGTCCGAGCCAGCAATCACAGAGTTTCCCTACCCTATGTCGGTTTTGCAGATCTAGATCTGGAATGTAAGGTCCATCGTAAAATCCTCATTCGTGGGGAAGATGTCGAGCTCTTTATGGGCCTGGCGATGGTGTGCTCTGTAGGCCTGTTTCGCCATAGAATCCCCTTCGTATTACCCACATTTCCCCATCTCCAAGAAGATAAGAAGACGGTCGCTCGTCTTGATTGTCAATTGACGACCGATCCGTGTTACTACATGCTTCCCATTGCATGTCGCCCCATCTGGAATTAACCTAAGTTGTCAGCTTCCTGGGTGCTGCTCCTGCTCGAGCCAGCGTAATTACATCACCATGGGCCAGCCGTAAGTGGCTACCGCCATTCCCTCCTCCCCATCCCCCCATCTCCGTCTCAGCCATCCTAGTTGCTGCACCTCGTGCCTCACATGATGATGCGCGATTGGTGTGCCTGGACGTGATGTCTGCGAACGCGCGCTTACCACACTTCCCCTCTAGGTATGCCGTTCAGGCCGACGACAAATTAGCCCGCGAGAGCCAGTTGCGGCCTCGCTGGAAACGGTCTCCCCGCGGCACCTACCGACGCTTCCTCACCATCGGCGGTGCCTGTTTGCTTCTCACCGGAGTCGCAAACTTTGTTTCGCACAGCTTCTCCGGCCTGACCGGGCACCACTGCAATCGCAATGGTCGCTTCTCCCAATCGCGCGGCGAGAACGGGCAGCGTCTGAGCTACCAGGAGCTCGAGTCCATTTTCCTCGAGACGCCGTCCTCCGAGCTTGCCGAGAAGTGGCTATACTACTATACATCAGGGCCTCACTTGGCCGGGAAGAATCTGAGCCAGGCCGAATGGACAAGGGACAAGTGGGAGGAATGGGGCATCAGCTCTGAGATTGTCTCCTACGACACTTATATCAATTACCCCGTCGACCATAGCCTCAGCCTGCTGCGCGAGGTTGGCGGCGATGGAAATGCCAAGAGCTGGGAGGTGGCCTTCAAGGCGTCTTTGGAGGAGGATGTCTTGGAAGATGACCCGACAACAGGTCTTGAGGACCGTATCCCAACGTTCCATGGCTACTCTGCCAGCGGCAATGTGACCGCGTCCTTCGTTTACGTTAACTATGGCACATACCAGGACTACCAAGATCTCGTCGATGCCGGCATTCAACTCGAGGGGAAAATTGCCATTGCCAAGTACGGCGGGATCTTCCGAGGCCTCAAGGTCAAGCGTGCTCAGGAATTGGGTGTAATTGGTGTGCTGATCTACAGTGACCCTGGTGACGATGGCGAGTACACCATCGCCAATGGCTACGACAGCTATCCCAACGGACCTGCGCGGCACCCCAACAGTGTCCAGCGTGGCAGCGTCGAGTTCTTGAGCGTGTCTCCCGGTGACCCGTAAGTGCTCATTCATGCACATGCTATCGCCAAGTATGGATGAAACTAACAACCATTAGGACCACCCCAGGATGGCCTTCGAAGCCTGATGCACCCCGGGCACCGCCGCACAATGCCATCCCAAGCATCCCCAGTATTCCCATCTCCTATACGGATGCCCTCCCTATCCTCAAGGCGCTGAATGGCCACGGGCCCAAGGGCACTGATCTGAACAAGTACTGGGGTATCAATAACGGCCTGGGCTATGAAGGAGTCGAATATTTCGTTGGTCCTTCTCCCGACGACGTTGTTCTCAACCTTTACAATGACCAGGAATATGTTACCACACCGCAGTGGGATGTCATTGGAATTGTCAACGGTACTATCCCGAACGAGGTCATCATCGTTGGAAACCATCGAGATGCTTGGATCGCTGGCGGAGCTTCCGACCCCAACAGCGGCTCCGCCGTCATCAATGAAGTAATTCGAAGCGTTGGTAAGGCGCTTGACGCAGGCTGGAAGCCGCTCCGAACTATCATCTTCGCCAGCTGGGATGGTGAAGAGTACGGTCTCATTGGTAGCACCGAATGGGTGGAGGAGTATCTGCCCTGGATCCAGGATGCGAGCGTTGCATACATTAACTTGGATGTTGCTGTATCTGGAGATGTGTTCCATGGTGGCGCGACACCGACTCTCCACAAGCTTCTCCGAGATAGCGTGGCCAAGGTCCTGTCACCCAACCAGACCATCGAAGGCCAGACCATCGGTGATCTTTGGGACGGTGTTATCCCACCACTGGGTAGTGGCAGCGATTTCACCGCGTTCCAGGACTACGCCGGTGTCCCCGCTCTCGACATTGGCTTCAAGGCAAACCCCAAGAGCCCAGTTTACCATTACCACAGCAACTACGACAGCTTCCACTGGATGTCCATTCTCGGGGATCCGGGCTTCAAGTATCATAAGGCGGTGTCGCAGCTTCTGGGTCTGATCGTTGCAAACCTTGTCGACAGTATCGTCATTCCCCTCCAAGCCACAGCGTACGCAGACGCCTTGGACAAGTACCTAGATGGCATCGAGACACAGCTTGGATCCACCGCCGAACCCGTTACTGAGGCCGAAATATTTGTTCATCGGGCGAAGGAATCTGCTGGCCCCGTTCAGGGCAGCTCTGATGCTTTCAAGGACAGCCTTCTTGCCATTCGCGAAGCTATCGAGGGCCTGCGCATCAGTGCTTCGAGGCTCGACGACTTGTCCGCCTGGATTAATCAGCAACTGGAGGAGGGCATTCCGTGGTGGAACTTTATCAAGAAAGCCAGAGTTGCCCTGGCCGTTCTGTCTGCCAACAAGAAGTACAAGCTCTTGGAACGGAATCTGTTGTTTGAGGGTGGTTTGGATGGCCGTCCTTGGTTCAAGCACGTAGTCTACGCGCCTGGATTATGGACGGGATACTCTGGAGGTAAGCTTGGTCTCCAAGACTCATATTCGTATTGTTCATGGCTAACTCCTAGCAGCTGTCTTCCCCGGTCTGACAGAGAGCATCGACGCTGATGACTACATCTCGGGACTCAAGTGGGCACAGATCATCAAGAAGGCGATTGACAGGACGTCAAGAAGCCTTCTGTAGGACGAATTGCGAAGAAATTGTTGAACGCAGTGTGAGTTGGATCGAATTTGAGTAACGGCCTTTTGAGCGATCCTTGGCAAGGTTGGAACATTCACTGAGATTGATATGATTGACCTGTTTCATGGGGAACACTAACGGCACGAAAGATATTATTGTGACAATGCTGAATAGGTGGGTATATAAGACTAAATTTAGCAATCGATTATTTCAAGACCATCATTATTGAACCGCTTCTCTCCAATCTCTTTGTATCCGTTCTGTCATCCTTCCCATTGGTCAACACCAAAACGCCTTCCAGATCACAGCAACCCGACGTGTATCAAACAGCCACGATGACCTTAGTCTATCCGTGCTTCAGATACGAATAACGGTGAGATTTAGTATTGGGGCTGCTGAGCTGGGACGGTGTACTGTGGCACCTGGCCTGGAACGGGTGGCTGGCCGGGGTGAGGCTGCTGGGCATAGTATTGGGCATTGGGGTCGACGGGTTGGAAAGCCGGGGCCGCCTGGACGGGATAAGGCTGAGGTGTCATCTGGTACTGCTCCTTGGACTGGGGAGCGGCGGCGGCGGCCACAGGCAGGCCGGCCTTGTTGCGGAGACCAGCGCGGCGGTGTCGAGCAACCACGACGGCGTCGACGATGAGGGCGACGATGAACATGATCCTGGATTGCGTTGTTAGGGCATGGAATTGAAAAGGAGGGGAAAGCTCGTCGGGATGGGGAACGTACCAGTTGAAGGCGCCGAAAACAGCCATGACGGCGTTGACGATGCCGTAGATAGAGCCCATCCAGAAGATGGAGGCGATGGCGCTGAGAGCCCAGCCGATGAGGTAGAAGATGAAGAGGAAGACGTCGAAGGCGATGGAGGCCCAGTAGTTGAACGCCTGGGGGGCGCACTGGCGGGCGGAGATGAGCCAGATGGAGATGGCGAAGCTGACGAGGGCGCTGATCATGATGAAGACGCCGGCCAGGGTGGGCAGCACGGCGAGGGCGAAGCCAGAGCACCCAATGAGGATGATACTGAAGATGAGCTGGATGACATTCACGGCGATGTACCCCTTGGGGTAGTCGGGGATGTGCTCCCGGCCTGGAAGTCGGACGGTTTGGGCGCTCATTGTGGCGGTTCGATGTGCTTGAGAGAGACGGAGACTGTACGAGCGAAGAGAATGGACGATGAGCTACAGAATGTTCACACAACTCGCGCGACAAAGCGAGGGGCCCAGGTGACTGCCAGCTTTCTTATATATTCCAAAACAAATATCTATTTTGGAGTTCCTCCCGTCAACTCATACCACTTGCAGGATAGGTCTGACAGATAGTATCATTTCAGGGGGGGCGACCCCCCCGCCAGAGCCACCTGCTAAACGAAAAACGAAAAACGATCCCAGCTAAGAGGTTCAAGCGCTGGGCTAGCCAGTCAGATCTGCATTGCTGGCGACGAGTGTGCCCTCGACCGGCAGTAGTGTGGAAAAAAAGGGAGTCGTGTTTGGGATTGGCTCGAGAGCACCAGGTGCGTGCGGCTGAGCTGGGCGGCAGGGGGGTCCGTCCTTTTAGGGCGATGCAGGCACGAGCCGTGCACCCGATCTAATTTCGGGTAAGAGGTCAGCTCGAGATTGACGCATTGAGCACCAAACCCCAGAGGAGCGTGCTTTGCGAAGAGAGTTGAGAGCAGGTGGCCTCTTGCGCGGAGGGAAACGGTTGAAGTCCAGGGTATGTAACCACCATGATGTCTGTGGATCGTATGGTAGATCTCGTCTAAATATGGGCAGGGTGATGCCCTGGCCGGGAGATGTTGGAGGCATTAGGGAACCAACTCAGCCCTGCGGCTGGGGTCGAGCCCCGCCCATGTCTGCCTTGGGCCCAGAGCCCATTGGGCACATCATGCATATCGCTGGCTCTCGCTCCGCTACCCTTGTTCCAGGTGGGTGTGGACGACAACGGCAGAGACATGGAATGGAGGCTTGAGCGGTCCAGCCTTTGCTTGGGGCACGAAACGCGCTCAGGACTGGCTGCAGCTCCCCTGTCATTTCCCGAAGCAATGCATCACATCAAGCAGGAAAGCAACAATGGGAAAAGCAAAGAGTGACAAGTGGCGGGTCCTGGGGGCACACCACTGGATAAAGTGCCAAATATATCTCGAAGTCTGGTGCTAGCATTTACCGCCACTTTACGCCCTCCACAGGACCCAGAGATCTCCCAAGTTAGTGTTGTTCGAGTCCCGAAGACTAAAGCATTATTAGAAATGAGAGCCTATTGGTGGACGTAGTGTTGCAAACAGTTGACGCCTCTGAAAACATGCCTTGCTCTTGTTTGCCAAACAAATGATGTATCTCCTGGTCGTGCCTTGAAAATTTTACTTTCTGCGAGGCTGCAAGCCTCCCAATATGTGGAGATTATTGTCCCCCATACTGATTGCCTATGTTATGCAGTAGAGAGAGTTGGGTGTGGTGTTGCTAAAACATCACCAAAGAACGATTGCTTTGGGGCGTACCAATGTAGTGTGGCGTACCTTAAGAGGTACCTTCCATATGCCCTTCTCATGCAGATCAGCCAGGCCGTCGCCATCACACATCCAGGTACCGAGCTGCGGAGGTGGGCTTCTAGACATGCAGTAGGTACTTCTCCTAAGCCTCACGACATCCGGAGAGATTCTACGAAAAGAGGAAGTAAATGAATTTTGCTGAATGATAAACTGAGAGATCTTTGAGTCTTTCCTGATTTTGTGACGCCCAGGAGGACCTTCTCTTGCGCTTCTTGAATCTGCCCTCCGCAGCTGGGTACTTACTTGCGCGATGAACGCGGCCTTGACACGATAGACGCGGTTGACACAACAAACATCGCTCTCGAGGCCATGTATCCAGTACTCACTTTGGCGGCAGTCGGTGCCTTCTTTCCCAGGTATCTGCTACCACTAACGTTGGCTGGCCAGTGATTCCTCTTTCTGCCACCCGTCAACATCAACAATCACCGCCTTGGCCAAACACGCTTCTTCCTTCTTCCTGCACACCTTCTTCCTCCCACCTCACCACCACCCTCCTTCTTCTAACATCACGCCCTCCCTTTTCCTTCCACCTAGCAAACAACTCGAAGGTTAACGACCCGACGAATATTCGAGTCTGCTCGATCACCGACTGATACCTAGCAAGGCCCAGATGGGCGTAAACTTGTAACTACTTGCATCTCTTTCTGTTCATTTTGTGATTTTGAAGCTTGCACTTTCGTTTCTCAACGCGCCTTCTCGTGGCATACAGCACGGATTCTTGTGACAACTACGTTTCAGCCCCGTGGTTGTAACTGTATCGAATACCTGCCCGTTACCATCAGAAGGAACCACATTGGCAGTTTCTGCCCGACCTACAGGCTACCTACTTCCCCTTCGCTTCCCTATTCTACACTCCACCTCCTCCACCTTTCTTTCCTCTATTCTCAGTGAATCACCCCTGTCCCCTATCTCGCTGCCGAAAGCTACATAAGCTTCGAGCCACCACTGCCGGGCTGAGGTAACCTCCGTGTGGGGTACCATGGCATCAACACCTGAGCCTGTAGGTCATTCCCTATCACAGAAAGTTGTGTTTGTGACAATGGATGAATTTAAGTTGATATTTGTTTGACCAAACAACTTCTCTAACATTGACCAAGGACCAGGCTAAACAAAATGGCACTTCCAAAGGTGCCAGCGAGTTCACCTCTGCTGAGCCGAGTTCGTTTACAAACTGGGGTCATGAAAATGACACACAGTTGAAAACTCTGCAGAACCCATTTCGCAAGCATGGCAAAAGGCTCAATAACTTTTCAACTAACCAGATAGATATGCCCAAGACTGGTATTTCGGGTGATGCTGGACTGCGCCGTGGCCACTCTTCGCTGAATATCGGCATAGCGGTGTCGGACTGGGAGACTGTGGCAACCGAGGATGAGGTTAATCAAGGGAAACATCCAGTGACTTCTTCCCGTCGCAATGATGTCGAGTCCAAGTACCAAACTGAAAATATTTATTCTTCTGGGAGCGGTACTCTTTTCCTGCCAGAGAGAAACTCCATCTTCGACACCCAGAATGCCTCCCCAGTGGTCCCTCCTGAGCCTTCTCAACAGGGATTTGCGAGTCACCCCTCTTTCTACTCATCTTCCAGTTGTTATAGCGACTTGCACAGAGTCGACAGCGCTGAAGGAGACAATCTCGGAAACTGGAAGCAAGAGGATGTTGATTTCGCAAACACTCATGTGGCGGACCAAACACTTCGCTTCGAGCTGGCTGCAGGAAATCGATTCTCAAAGAACTCATTCAGTAACATCGGTAGCCCATTCCAACATGATGATGACACGCCTGAGCCAATTGCCCAAGGCGAAAATCCAACTGAAGGCAACGGGTTTCAACAAGTCGAAATCTTCCCAACTGCAACGCGAGCCTTGAGCCTTGATTTGGACCAAGCTGGGCCCTGCGAAGACATTCGCAGAACCGATCCTTCGTTCTACAACCCTACTGCCATTCGTTCGACTTAGAGGGTTGACGAACGTGTCAAAATACCAGTGAACGCGGCGGGTGAAAGCAGCCTACAGAGACCCAGTGGGAGCGACGGCATTACTGTGACGATCAATGTTGGAGCAACCGTAGATGCTGAAGAAGATTGGCGAACAATTACGACTTCTGGTCCGCCCAATGGAACGCCACAGGGTCTTGGAAAGTCAAACTATCTTTATGCCAAAGAAACGGGAAACAGCCTCGCTGATGTTTCTGACTCCGCCGGCTTATGCAACTGCAAGTATCCCTCGTCGGAAAATATCATTCGGCACCAATGGTGTGAATGCAATCCTGCTTCGAACCATGAAATGGCTTTAAGCGAAGCAGTGTCAAGACTTGCAAACTGTGAACAAAACGTGTCGAACCACAAGACATCCCGCAAAGGTTCTATCGCGACAGCAGCGATCCGTCGTCTCTCAAACACATTCCGGATGAGTCAAGTACCCGAGGTCCCAGCAATCCCACGGGTCTTTGAAATGCAGTCATACGGGCACAGCTATGATACCCTTGGTTCGAATCCCAGACCTAACCAGCATGCAACCATCACTAACCCGGAGCGTAAAGAGCCCGGTCCAATTTCAGACCAGCCCCTCCATAACCATGGCGTCCCTGGTCCCAGCCAGCGGCCCACCTCTACTCACGTAGTTCGTGACAGCCAGAGATCTCGGTTTGGGTTCTCACTTATCAGCTTGCACGAGGCGTCAGCGATACAGTTGCAACGCAGAGAGTGCGGGGAGGAAGACCATACGGAAAATGGAAATTCGTTCATAAGCAAACCGAGATCTGCTACGTTTAGTACCGCTTCTACCCGGCGCCCTCAGACACCAGGGTCGACGTTTTTCGAGTATGGAGAAGCTGTGGCTCATGAGCCTCTGGAAGCCCCTGCCCCTGCCTTTATGCAGCGACGATCCAAAACTCGAACACCATGTAAGTAAGGAGTGCCTAGGGATCAAAGGAACATAACTGACAATAATAGTGAGTGAGACTAGCACACGGCTGCCTGGCTTCGACTCTCCCTCGGCACGACGCGGGCTCCAGATGTCTCGCAAGTCTTTGTATAGAGGAGGGCCATATGACAGCTGGTCAATCCTAGCCGGTGGCATGCCTAGCTTCCAGGGATTCAGAGGCGAAAATGACCACCATCGGACCAACCTCCCCGGCTGCTACAAGGAGCACAGTCTAACATGGTCCGATGGAGTGCCGACATCCTACTTCCGAGGGACAGTTCCTTCCGACACCCACTTCCCAGATATCTCAGCCGAGAAGGGCAAAGGTTTCTTTTTGGTTGTTATGGTTTTGACCATCTTCTTCCCACCTGTGGGCGTACTCGCACTCTGGGGTGTGTTTGACTCCACTATCTCGTGGTGTACGCATGGCGAACTATCTGTTTTTACTGTTGACCAGCGAGGGACACTGAAGCAACAGCTTGTTGTGGAGGCGATCCTTTATCCTGTGCTCATCATTGCTCTGGCCGTGTCTTATTCTCTCGCTGGCTAATGCCGGACTCAAGGAGGATGATCTTGACATGCAGGCAAGCGCCTGCTCGAATTTCAGTAAGGTGGGCGGTTAAAAGGTGCGGGAATAAGAAGAAGAGAATTGAGCTGGATCGATCTTCTTGTGATAGTTTCATTGCGGGCATTCATGTGCCATATCTCAAACTCAGGCTTGTGTCTTTCAATGACACCCCTGCAAAACTTTATAGCTGATCTCTTCATATGCAGCTATCTGTATGTAACTCTAGGGTCTGGACGGCTTCGACTTATCCAGTCAGTTCGTTTACAAATAGGAAAACCAAAATATACCACGTCTTCATCATAATCATGTGAATGCATGCTACAACTTGAAGGCCACACCCACCCATGCACCAACCCTATGCACGCCCACCTTGAAGAGCTGGGAGCCAATGCCTGACACATTAACTACTTCGACTTGTAATAGCCAATGGCTAAGATTCCTAGCCTCTAAAATGGTCGCATTGCGGTTTATGTTCCAGCAATCACAAAATTGATGAAGCTCTCTGCAAGAAAAATGATTGGCCATCAGTAGGGTAACAATCGATTCTAGAATTGGATTTGTAAGTACCCAAGTGGCATCTATGTCAAAGGGAATCCACATCCTTCTCAATTGAGGTACCACCTGGTTCTAGATGTTCTTGGAAGTGACCGAAATAGCCGTATGAAGGTTAGTTTCGCGAGGCGGTATAGCATTCCGACCCCTCTTAACGTCATATGCATGGATGATGTTATGGATGGAGCGGCAGCTTACAAATTCGGGAGCCCACCAGAACGACGACTGACATTTCACGTATAAATGTATAAATGCACGACGAACCTTGTGTGTATTTGCTCAGATGCCGATCTGGTCATTGAGATCACACGACTTGATCATTTCCCCACTATCGAAGCGCTTTACTTAGGCTACAAAGCTCGGATTTCTTGCATCAATCCGACAGTCATGGGTGTCAAGATCTTTCTGTACGTAAATGAGAACTCCCATGGACTTACTCCCCAGAGAGCTAACAATTGAATGCTCTGCATCAAGGACCGGAGCGACTGGTATGGATCAATGCAATGTTCAAAGTTGTTTGGCGCCGGGCTGACCTCTATCGCAAGGCTACATTGGAGGTACAGCTCTTGCGTACCTCGCGAAAGCGCACCCCGACTACGAGTTTACCTTGCTCGTCCGAAGCGAGGAGAAGGGGAAGCCAATCAAGGCCAAGTACCCCAACGCCAACCTGGTTTACGGTGGCCTTACCGACTCCGCCTTGGTAGAACAAGCAGCAGCCGAGGCTGATGTTGTCGTCCGTAGGTCTTGGCCCGCACCTGGGGTCTGCGTTCGTTGATGTACTCACCTAACTCTAAACTAGACACCGCGGATTCGTCCGATAACGTGCCCGGAGCCCTGGCGATTGCGAAGGGGCTTGCTCGCGGTCACTCTGCCGAGAAGCCGGGATACTGGGTCCATGTCTCGGGAACATCCATTCTGACGTGGTTTGACAGACAAGAAGGGAGGTTCGGCGAGGGCCCGGTGCCGGCTCAGAAGTACCACGACGTGGATGACATCAACCGCATCGTCACCTTGCCTGACAAGGCTCACCACCGTGACGTCGACAAGATTGTCCAGTCAGCCATCTCCGACGCCGTCAAGGTCGCCATCCTGTGCCCGCCAACCATCTACGGCAAGGGCTCCGGTCCGGTCAACACTCGAAGCGTCCAGATCCCCAACCTGGCCCGCCTCGGGCTCCAGAAGGGGGTCGTGCCGTACGTCGGCGCGGGCAAGACGGAATGGGACCACGTCCACATCGACGACCTGGGGGACCTGTTCGTCAGGCTCGTGGGCGCGACGCAGGACCGTTCGCTAGCGAGTAACCCGGAGGTGTTTGGGCTCCACGGCTACTTCTTCGCGGAGAGCGGATCGCATCGATGGGCCGACGTCGCGGGGTGGATCGCCGAGGAGGCTAGCAGGCAAGGGTTCGTGCGCGAGGCGCGGACCGAGTCGTTGACGCAGAGCGAGGCTGAGCTCCTGGACGGGGCGTCGACGGGCACGTACGGGCAGAACTCGAAGAGCGTCGCGCAGCGGGCGGGGAGGTATCTGGGCTGGCGGCCGACGGGGCGGGCGTTGAAGGATGAGGTTGTGGTCGCTGTGTCCGAGGAGGCTGCGGATTTGGGGTTGGTGCCCAAGGCGTAGGTGGGTACACTCTGTACTGCAGGTAGAATTATGCTGGGCGGTTATTATTTACCTTATTAACTCGTTATGAACTTCTGCAGATGGAAGTGGCAGCTCAATATTGGCACCATCAGACAATGCCTTGTCCGTGATAAGTTCCTTATGGGATGGGGACTGATTGTTCTAGTTCTATAGTATGTATTACTTTGATATAACGCTGAGGTGACCTCAAGACATCACATTCACCAGTCAGCATCTGGGATATAAGTATCAACACCCGGGTCAATAATGAGATACGAAGGCCTTGGAATAAAAAGAAAATATTCTCTACCATTTGCTTTCCATTGGATTAATTAATGGGACAACAATAAACGAGAGCCCTGGTAGTGGCGTTGTCTCATGCCACCCACCACTGGTGCATTGGTATTTTGTAATTGTGGAGTACAATCTTTTGTGGGAGGATCGTGCAGCCTCCTCATTTTCTAAGGCGGCGGGACCTGCCAAAGTGGGTGGGATAAGAGATAAATCGCATGTGCTTTGATGTTCTTGCCAACTAAATTTGATTTGAAGAACTACTGTAAAGGAAGAGAAGACTGTGAAATCTTTCCAAGCCCAAAGGCATCATACTATCCCTTGTCTTAACTTTTTTCCTTTCTTTTCTTTTTTCTTTAAATTCGAAGGATGCAGTTGGACGAGATGGCTCTAGTATCAAAGCCGAAGTACGGAGTGCAACGAGTAAATGCTACTGCAGTCTTATGCCACCCACATCACCCGACTTTTTCGTCAGATTTTCACTGCTGTTCGGATAAGCACAAGTACCACGGATGTATCCCTTGAAGTTCTATCCAACCAGAAGCACTTGGCAGACCACTGGAGCTACCTCGCACAACTGACTCTCATCGGCTGCGACTTACTCAGCGCCCTGCACTACGGCCAAGGGTCCTCTTGCACCGGCGAAAGTTGGCAGGGCTGTGATTGGTCGGCTCCGGGCGGGGCACGTAGCGCCTAAAAACTGATTCGCCTCTTTGAAAGCAGCGCTGCGAAAAAGAGGGAAACCCAAGGTGGGGCCACCCGGCAGCGAAAAAAAAAAAGTTCTAGTGGTGGTGCTGGTCCCCTCAATTCACAAAAATTTGGCAGCGCTGGAAGAAATTCTTCTCACCGACGAGTCCCACCCCACGTTGGATTTATTCCTCTTCTTTTCCTCCCCCTCCTCCATCCTGCCTTTTCCTCATCCATCCCCTGAAATCAGTTTTTCAGTACACATTCAAGATGGCTGACGAAGTTTACGACGGTGCCGTTGGCATTGATCTGGGTAAGTACACGAACCCTACGATTTTCTCTCACATCCCACCAACCCCTCCCTGCCGATTTGTGCGTCAAACGTCTGGGGCAAGCAGGAAAAATTCGCTGACCAGAGCATCTCCCTCACAACAGGTACCACCTACTCCTGCGTTGCTACATACGAGGGCAACAATGTCGAGATCATTGCCAACGAGCAGGGTTCCTTCACCACCCCTTCTTTTGTTTCTTTCACCGACAAGGAGCGTCTGATTGGTGAGGCTGCCAAGAACAATGCTGCCATGAACCCCCGCAACACCGTCTTCGATGCTAAGTGCGTTCTTTTGCCCTCATAATTCTACTGCTCGAAAGGCAGTAGAAGCATAATGCAAAAAAACCGGCTTGTGCGATATATACTGACCCGTCCTGTTCAGGCGTCTTATCGGTCGCCGCTTCGATGACCCCACCGTCAAGAAGGACATTGAGTCCTGGCCCTTCAAGATCATCGATGACAACGGCAGCCCCAGAATCGGGGTTGAGTACCTCGGTGAGCAGAAGACCTTCTCCGCCCAGGAGATCTCTTCCATGGTCCTCGTCAAGGCAAGTTGCACCTAAATCCTTCTCTGGCCTGGGTCTTACCGAGTAAAGACCAAGGGTTGAAATTTTCATTGCCCGACACCGGCTAACAAACTCCGCAGATGAAGGAGATTGCTGAGGTCAAGCTCGGCAAGAAGGTTGAGAAGGCTGTCATCACTGTCCCTGCCTACTTCAACGACAACCAGCGTCAGGCTACCAAGGATGCTGGTGCCATTGCTGGTCTCAACGTCCTCCGTATCATCAACGAGCCCACTGCCGCTGCTATCGCCTACGGTCTTGGCTCCAACAAGTCCAACAAGGAGCGTAACGTCCTGATCTACGATCTCGGTGGTGGTACTTTCGATGTCTCCCTCCTCAACATCCAGGGTGGTGTCTTCACCGTCAAGGCTACTGCCGGTGACACCCATCTTGGTGGACAGGATTTCGACACGAACCTCCTCGACCACTGCAAGAAGGAGTGAGTTTCCCCGTTCGAAGCAGCAATCTATTGTGGGCTAGCCATGCTGACCATCCTCTAGCTTCAACCGCAAGACCAAGGCCGATCTCTCCGGTGACGCCCGTGCCCTCCGTCGTCTCCGTACTGCTTGCGAGCGTGCCAAGCGTACTCTGTCCAGCGGTGCCCAGGCCACCATTGAGATCGACAGTCTTTTCGAAGGCCATGACTACAGCGTCACCATCACCCGTGCTCGTTTCGAGGAGCTCAACGCCAAGGCCTTCAACGGTACCCTTGAGCCTGTTGCCCAGGTCCTCAAGGATGCTGCCATCGAGAAGAAGGCCGTTGACGAGATTGTCCTCGTCGGTGGTTCCACCCGTATCCCCCGTATCCAGAAGCTTCTGTCCGAGTTCTTCGACGGCAAGAAGCTCGAGAAGAGCATCAACCCCGATGAGGCCGTTGCCTACGGTGCCGCCGTCCAGGCCGGTATCCTCTCTGGCAAGGCTACCTCTGCCGAGACTGC